CCTGGGTAGGTGCACGGTGCACACGGAGGCCTGGGGCTCCCGTCTGCCAAACGCTGGATGTCCCGCCTAGCCCCCTGCCTCAGGCCTTCTGCCCTCCACCCCTCCTGCCTGGCCAGAGGTGCCCCGGCCAGCCCGCCCTTCCGGCCTCCGGGCTCACTTGTTCTCCCAGCTTCTCTGGCTGTCGCCCCCCACAGCTGTGAAGTGCTGGCGCCCACTCCCCCCACGCGGCCCCCTCCCGCGATCTGACGACCCCTTGGGCTGACAGCCAGCGGGTCTCTGTCCTGAGCCCGGCTGGGGACAGCTCCCCAACCTGTGCACAGGGAAGCAGCCACGTGTCGTGGACGGATGGCCAAGAGTTTCGCTCCAAGCGCCCTCCCTGGGCCGCCAGCCTCGGCAGGGTGGCTCCGTAGCTCCGCCCATGCAGAAGAGGCCCCAGCCCGTGAATCTGGGCGGCCTGGGGGACTTGGTGGGGTCAACTGTGGGGGGCCGGCCCGCTGGGCGGGAGAGCCCGCATGGAGCAGGGCGGAGCTGACCGGGCCGCCAACCACGTGCCTCGCCCCCCCCCCCCCCCCGCCGCCCCACCGCAGTGAGTGGTGCGGGGGTCCATGAGCGGGCCAGCCGAGCAGCACAGGCCTCAGCACACCCCTGGCCGGCCTCACACCTGCCTCCCAACACGGGGAAGTTGGCCCCTGGCTCTGCACCTCCCTCTCCCTGCCCCTCCCCTAAGGCCTGCACACTCAGCGCCCATGAGGTCTCTGCAAGCCCCTGCTCCCTGAGTCAGCGTCTCCTCCTCCTGTGACAATCCCCAGGGCCCTGAAGACATCCCTACTATGTGGGGAATCCTCCGGACACTTCATTCGGAACAGAACCTGTATTGCTCCAAGCCACTAACCAGCTGCTGCGCACCTCTCCTGAGCTTGGGGGGGCCTGGCGCCAATGCCGCCTCCTCCAGGAAGTCCTCCTGCATTCCCTCCCAGCTCAGACAGGATGAATCTCTCCCACGGCACACACTCTCTCCACCCTGTCTGGTCTCCATAACTCTGGGCAAGGATCATGATTTTCCTGTCTGTCCCGCTCACAGGTGAGGCCCCAGGGGGCTGGACAGTACTGGGGTGAGAGAGAGAGAGCACGGGATGTGGAGCCAGACAGGCAAAGTCTGTCCGTGCTGCTGTGTGTGGCCGTGGGGAAGGCAGCCTATCTGTAAAGATGCAACTGGGGACAGAGCCAGGGCCTGACGCCGGGCCGGGCGCGGAGTGGGTGTGAATTAATCCCTGCAGAAGGAGGGCTGCAGCTCGTGCTCGCATCCCAGCCCTGGCCAAGGACCCGGCCCCACTCCGGGGGCGGGTGGGGTGCAAGGGAGGCCTGATCCTGCCTCCAGGCCTCCGGGGCCTCCCTGTCCTCCCTGTCCCCTGGGGCTGGCTCTTACCCGCATCGGTGGCACATGGGTAATGGTAGGTGTGGGTACATCCTTTGTGGCAGCACCCGATGGTGGCCCCGGCTTCCTGGCAGCTGGAACAGGTCTGGCGAGGAGAGAGGGAAGCTGCGGTGAGTCTGCAGTGGGCCCCTCACGGACCCCACCTCCCCCACCCCAGGAATCAGTTGGAAGGAGGTTGCAGGTGGCCCGAGGGCTGGTTCTGTGGCAGCCCCGGGCTCGGATGAGGGGACCCTCTTGGGGCAGGGGCATGTCGAACCTCACGGATAAATGTCGAACCTCACGGGTTCGCATCCCAGCTCTGCCATTCTGCGCTGGGTGACCTCAGCCGGTCACCCGAAGTCTCCAGGCCCCACCTGGGTGAGGAGGGAGGGCCCCCCCACCCTACGGGCCCCCCTAACCCTCCACACGGGAGACACCATGTGCCCAGCAGACGACAAGAAGCCGTGAGGCCGCTGTGGGTGTGGCTCCTGGCTGGGGCTGAGCAGGGGTTCGGTGTGCAGGGCACAGGGCGTGTCCTTACCCACTGGCTCCTCCCAGGGGGTTGGGGACTGTCATGAGCCCCATTTTCTAGATGGTGAAACTGAGGCCTCCACTCCAGGCGAGCGTGAAGGCAATGAGCACCGTCTTCTACCCTGTCTGGCAGTCACGCGAGCACGGAGCCCAGAATGGACCTGTCCCACCCTCCGAGGGGCCCCCTGCCCTGCCCAGGTGCGCGGAGGAGGGGACAGGCAGAGTGGCTGTAGATGCACGCGGTGTCCCACACCTGGCCCAGCTGTCCGCAGAGGGACGTGACCGGGACAGCTGGGCCACCCGGAGAAGGCCCTCCGAAGAGCGAGAGAAACCCTGTGGCCTGCAGAGGGACAGGCTGGGCCCCAAGTCCCGCAGACTCCAGAACTACAGCCCCGCCGTACCAGGCGGGAGGTACATACTGCGGGGAAGCAGAGCAGTGGTAGGCCCAGGCCCCAGCGCTAAGCCACCGGGACGGGTCCCTCATGCGGTGCCCCGCGGGCCTGGAAGCAGCCACCTCATAGCCTTATGATGTTGGTATTATCATAATTCTACCCAGGTTACCTACCGAGGCTGAGTAACCTGCCTGAGGGCACACAGCTCCCAGGTAGCTGAGCTGGGCTTTGAGCTGGCAAAAATCTCCCCGTACTGCTCGGGGCCGGGGGTGGGCTCCATCCCGCGTCCACGACTAAGAGAGAGACCCCACCTCCCGCATCTGGGAGAGACCATGAGTGAGAAAGTCTTCTCCCACCTTCCTGGGGAATAAGGCCTGGGGACGCTCCCTGTGGCATCATGCTGGGAGGCGGGAGGTACAGGGAGATGGGCTGTGTGTGTTCTGGAACATCGGGTGTCCATACATGCCTTCAGATGGGCAGCTGCCTTCCGGTCAAGGCTGAGATCTCCTGGGGCTCTGGGACCCCACAGTGCCTCAATTTCCGGCCCACAAAGAAGTGACGGAGCGGGAGGGGGGCCAGGCCCAGGCCCAGGCCCTCAGGTGTTTTGTTGGTTAAAGGGGAATAGCCAGAGGGGCGGCTTCACACCACCCTGCCTGCACTGAGGCCCCCCCCAAAAAACTGGTGGGCGGCGTTCCGGACACGAAGAAACCGAGGGACAGAGAGACAGAGGCGTTGGGCCCTTCTGAGCCCAGCACCCGAGCTCTGACCCCCTGCTCCCCTAGCCGGGCTTGTGAACCTGCCAAAGGATCCCAGGCTGGTGGGGGGGCCCAAACTGGGGTCTGAGCCCTTGCTTGCAGCTTCTAAATAACACCCAGTGAGAGGTGCATGCCCCCATCCTTGGCATCCATGGCCAGGCCTCACCTGGATAGGACATAGGGCCTGCAGTGGTTCTGGGCAGACTGAGAAACTGAGGTCCCGGGAGGTGGGCATGGGAGGGCTGAGGGACAACAGTTTGTGTGGGGGTTCTCGGGAGGGGTCAGAGAAGAAAGAGGGCTGTCCCTGAGTGGCCCCCACAGAACTTCTGTGCCCCCGAGAGCGAGAGTGAGGCCAAGGTACTAACAGGCGTGCCGGGGCTGGGGACCCTGCCGCACGGGGACCCTCCTGTGCACGGGGGAGGTAGCCCTACCACCCCGCTAACGGGGTGTGGCCTTCCGAAGCTCCCAGAGGGCAGTGACTTGCTGGAGTCACAGAACCCACTGTCAGCAGAGCTGAGATTTGAACCCGGGTCTGTGTGTTTCCAAGGGAGCCAAGGCTGCAAGAGGCGAGGGCATGGAGCCGGGACCCTCAGAAGTCTCAGAGCCTGGCCGTCTCTCCAGAGTGTTCTGAGCGTCCGGTGGGGGGACGCTGCTTTGCTGGGCCCCTGTGAGGCTCAGCCCGGCTGCCAGCTCGGGCCTGGCCCAGGGCCATCAGACGCAGGGAGGCCTTTTAGACCCCATCTGAGCTGCCTTGGGGGACGTAGGAAGATGCGGCCGGGGAGCAGCGAAGCCCTGCTGGTGTGTGTCCTAACCCCCCCCCAGCATCCCCCACCGCAGCCTGACCTTCCCAGGGATGCCCCAGTGGCAGGAGGTATAGGGCAGAGCGGGCGGAGATGGGCGGAGTTCCAGCTCCAGCGCTCAAGAGCTGTGCGACAGCAGGGAAGCAGGGTGCCACTCTGACCCCCAGCTTTCTCATCAGTCCGGCAGGACTTTAGTGCAGGTCCATGGGGCGAGACCAGAGCTCCTGGGACAGGCTTAGCCCATGCTTGATTAGCCTACCACCATGGAAAAGACTGGATCGGGCCCCAGCTCAGAGAAGGATGGAGAAGCAGCACAGCCTGGCCCAGAGCCATGGAGGCAGGGGAGGCCTGGATGGGGGGCCTGGTGGGGCGTGGGTGTCGGAGGAGGGGATTGGTGATCTGAGGGTATTACTTTTTAATGATGGAAGAGACTTGAGCCTATTTCAGGATGGCTGGGAAGGAGCCAAGAGCCAGTGACAGAGAGAGAGACAGAGAGAGGGAGGGAGGGAGGGGCACGGAAAGTGCAGGTATCCTCTTGGAGGTGGGGTTTCCTCAGTCAGGCTGGAGGCCCCTGGGCAGGATGTCTGGGCCTGCAGAGGTCTCCCACCATGCCCCGCGGCAGTGGAAGGTGGGTGCAGGAACCCAGGCGAGGCCGAGGCCCTTGGGCACAGGCGGTGCGAGGGAGTGTCCGTCCCAGGTGTGGCTGTCCGTGTGCATGTGTGTGTGTGCGTGTGTGTCGGGGGGAGGTGGGCAAGAGCACAGACCCCAGGAAGAGCCTGCTGACCCCAGCACCCCGTCTAGCTGCCTGCTCACTCCGCCACCTCAGGAGGGAGCGTGAGGAGCAGGAAGCCCTGGTAGCTGGAGTGGGAGTAACAGTGCTGGTGAGCCGAGGCCCGACCGACGTCCCCCGTCCTAGCAGAGGGCCGTCGGCGGGCGCTCAGACAGACCTGGCGGCTTCACGGCGTGAACTCCCTCAGCCCTCACAGCCCCGCTGCGCGGCCCACGCCAGCCATGAGGACGCGGGGATACGGAGGCGCGAAGCCGCAGGCCCCGAGTCCCACGGGGAGGGATGGGCAGTGCTGGGATCTGACCCGAGAAGGCAGCCTGAGTTCCTGCTCACAGACCTTGGGGACTGGAGGTCCTCAAGGAGCACGTTATGACCGTTGCGGAGAGGTCCCCAGACCACCCTGCCCGAGGGGACACGTGCCGACCCACCGTGTGCAGAGAGGCTCCTTCCCAGAGCCCAAGGGGACAGGTAAGTGCTGGGACGGGGGTGGGGTGGGGGGGACCTGGAGCCGGAAGGTGCCGGGGGCCGGGCTGGGCAGGGCAAGTCGGGGACAGGGGTGGGTGAGCATGTCCTGCCTCGGCCTCAACTCCACCCCAAAGCTCCCCGGAGAGGAACTGGTGATGGCAGGTATGTTTGGCCCAAACCGTGGCGCCGGCAAAGATGCGGGGGGGGGGGGGGGGGCTTCCCAATGGCCTGCCTGCCTGCCCGTCCTGCGCACCCCGGGCTCCCCGCCCCAGCCGGGCTGGCCTCTTACCATGTCCACGGCCACCTTCATGGCCTCCTGCAGCCCAAAGAGTTTCCCGGCTACCAGGTAGACCCCGCCCGTCCACACGGCGCAGGCCTCGTGCACCCAGTGTTCCTGGGTGTCCCCGCCAGGCTCGGCCGGTGGCTCCTTGCTGCACTCGTGCTTGCGGCTCTTGTCAGCTGGGGCCGCCTCCTCGCCACCGTCCCCCCGACTGTCACAGCAGTAACAGCTCTGCAGCCGCCGGGACAGGCCCCGGGCGCTGGTGCGCAGCGAGCCCTGCTTGCCGGGGTCGGCCGGGCCCTCGGGCCTCGGGGGCTTGCCAGTGGCAACAGTGGCTGTGCACTCGAGGTCTTTGAGCGTTCTCTCGAGGGGCAGCGAGACCTCCTCGCAGGTGCCCTCCGGCCGCACCTTCTCCTTGAGTTTTGGCTTCTTTTTGGGGAGGCAGTGTTCGGGGTAGTAGGGCCCACAGAGGTCCCCGAGGTCCTTGAAGTTGGCCGGGTTTTGGCAGAGGCAGCAAACAAGGCAAGAGGTACTCAGGGCCTTGGAGACCACGGGCCCCAGATGCATGGTGGAGGAGAGGGGCAGGGAGGGCCGTGGCTGCAGGACAGAGCCTCCAGGGAGCGTGGCCAAGGAGGCCCCGGTCGCATCCAAGGAGAATGAGCATGAGGATGAGGAAGAGGAGGCGGAGGAGGAAGGCTTCCTGTGGGGCTTGGGCTCCTCCCCAGGGGAGTTGACCACAGTGCATATGGTGGTGAACGCGTCTCGCTTCTCCACCCGCACAAAGGGCGAGAAGGCCGGGGTGCGGCTGTCTGCCCGAAGCCGCTTGCACGAGGAAATGTACTTGAGGCGGATTTCAGGCTCGGCGGGATCCAGGGGCAGCACCTGCTGCTGCCGCCGCCGCTTGGCACGCCCCTTACAGGGTGAGGAGGTGGTGTTCTTGGCCCGGCCCCGGGTGAGGCGCTTTCGCTTGGAATAGCTGCTGTAGTTGGCGTGGCCCGGCTGCTTCTGCGCCCTCGTCTGGGCCTGGCAGGGCCGGCCCTCAGGGGACTGGGAGGCCAGGCCCAGCTCCTCCGTCTTTGGCTTCTTGCCTCCTCCACCAGAGCTGTCCTCACTGGCCCCCTGAGTGCCATTGGCCCTGTCTCGGGGGGTCAGGAGCAGAGCCGGGCCTAGATGGGGCCGCTTCTCCAAGGGACCTTTGGGGAGTCCGAGGGCTCCAGCCCTGCCTTTCCGGCTTCTCTTCTTAGGTGCCAGGGCAGTCCCCCCAGGCAGCAGGGCCTCGGGGGACGTGAAGGCCTCAGTTTTGAAACAGTCAGTTGAGGACAGTTTCTTACTGTTTAGGAGTTTGCCTTTTAAGGATCTGTTGGTCGGATTTCTGCATAACGGGTCGGCCCCCGGAGCTGCCGGGAGCTTCTGCCCAGGGCCCACATTTAAGAGACCTTCTCCTGCCCCAATTGGGCTGCCGCCCGCACTCTTGAGCCCACGGTCCTTCTCAGGGAGAGAGGGGCTCAGAGGGTTACCGGGAGGGGCCCCCGGCGCCTTGCACGCAAACTTCTTCAGGCTGGGCGAGGTGATCTTCTGCACGATGGCCTCCAGCTTCAGGCCCCTGCCTTTCCGGGGCGGAAGCACCTTGGTCTTCATGGCCCCCTGGAAGGCCGCCCGCGAGGCGAGCTTCAGGCAGGCGTCAGGGGTCTCCGGGGGCGGGGGCTTCACGGCGGGCTCGCCGCCGTTGCCCTTGGCCGGCTTGGCCTTCTTGGGCGAAGACATCCTCTTGAAGAGGGCGGAGGGGTCCTCGGCTCCCTCCTCCTTCACGTCCCCCCCACTGCCGCTCCGTAGAACCAGGTTCCGCTTCTTGGTGGGGACTGGCGCCAGGAAGGCCGACTTCCTCTTGAGCGCGTGGAGGGGCCGGTCAGAGAGCTTGCTGCCTGCGCCCGGCTTGGGGACCCGGGCCCGCTGGCTGGCCCTGCCCTCCTTCTGGGGGCTGCCCGAGACCTTGAACGAGGCAGGCAGGTGGTTGTTGGCCAGCAGCTTCTTGGCAGCGCGGCAGTTGGGGAGGCGGCTCTCCGAGGGCCGCCGCCTCTTGGAGTGGAACGCCTCCTGGGTTTTCGTGCGGGACCGCAGGATCATAGAGCGCTGGTCCTTGCCCGGGGTGCCGGGCGAGTCTGTCTCCTTGGTCTTGGAGCCCATGGGGCTGCTGTCCGAGGCCACGGGCAGGGCGGCCGGGTTACTGGGGCTGGAGGCTGCCTTGGGTGACGGCTTGCCCACCCGCTTGCCGGACTTGAAGGCGGCTCGCTGCTTGCCCCCCAGTTTGTCCGGGGGGGCGGGGGTGGTGGTCAGGCCTGGGGGTCCAGGTGTGCGGGGCTCGCTCAGGGCCGTGAAGGAGCGCGTGCACATCCTGGGGAGCCCTTCCGAGGCCCCCCGGCCTGGGGCTCCCGCTCCTTCCATCTGTCCCTGCGGGGGCCCAGTGCAGGATTCGGGGAGCAAGAGGTCCTTGGGCAGCACGGGCGCCCGGCACGGGGAGTCCTCAGCCTCCGGCAGCCCCCGGTGCACCCGCCGGCTCCGTAAGCTTTTGCCGCGGGGCACGGGCTCCTTCTTAGCGATGGGCGCCTCGGGCACGGCCGGCTTGTTGGGCTTCTGCGCCAGGGAGGCATCTGGGGCCAGCGTGGCGGAGTCCCCGGGCGCCAGCACCCCGTCGGGGCCTCCTTCGCCCGGCTTCATGTGGGACAGGGAGGACTCAAACCAGCTCTGGACCTTCGACTCGGCGCCCACGGTGGGGCCCAGCAAGATGACGGAGTCACCGGACAGGTGGCACGGGGAGCCCCAGCCGGTCTTGGTGTCCAGCACCTCTTCCACCTCCTCCTTGGTGCACAGCAGGGGGGCCTTCGGCGACAGCGGGTCCGGCAGGCCGGGCCTCTGCTCGGGGCTGCCCAGGAGCTCGCACAGGGAGGAGTACTCCTCCTCCGCCTCCAGGTCCTCTTTCCTGCCGGGCGGTGGTAGCAGGGGCAGGTCCCCGAAGTCCGCGGCGGAGCAGCAGTGCCGGCTGTCCTCCAGCCAGCGGTCGGCCTTGCCCACCTCGGGGCACTGCAGCAGCCCGCCCACCTCCTCCTTCACCCCGCCTGCCGCCTCCTGCGCCGAGGCCCGAGGCCCGGCGGCCTCGTCCCCGGGCGGCTCCCCCTCCTGGAAGCCCGGGCAGCCCGAAGCCTCATGGGCATTGTCCTTGCCCACGCCGTCGGAGGCCTTCCCGCCCTGCTCCAGGCCCTTGGTGAGCTCGCCGGGGTGCAGGCCCCAGCGGGGACAAGCATCGCCCAGGTTTTCCTCGGGCCAGGCGAAGGGGTTGGCGCCATCTGCCGAGCTGGCGCTGGTCGTGACCGGGAAGCAGTCGAAGGCTGCCGCGGCAGGGTCCGGCGTGGCGGCCCCGAGCGTGGTCTTGGGGCTAAAGGCGAGGGGACCGGCCGTCTTCTTGGGGTCCGGGGCGGCGAAGCCCACGGAAGGGTCTTCGAAGAGCCCCGGGCTGAAGTCCTTGGCACCTCCACCCTTGTCGAGCTGCAGGGCCTCGGGCAGGGCCTCCGGCTCCCCCGGCCGCGGCCACGCGTTCTTGGCCACGGCGTCCAGGCAGGCGCTGTGGTTCTCCAGCGAGAAGGGAGGCTTGCCGACGTCCTTGGCCGGGCCAGGCGCCTCGGCCCAGGCCTTCTCGGCCTTCTCGCCGATGGCCTCCTGCAGCCCGAGGATCTCGGAGGCCAGGTCCTCCTGCGCCAGGGCGCTGAGCAGGAGCCGCGGGCAGTCCCGCTCGGCCGCCACAAACTTGGAGAAGCTGTCGAGCGGCAGGCTGCCATGCAGGCTCTGGAAGGAGTCGTCGGACTTGGTGGACATGTCGTCGGGCGAGGTCACCGAGCAGGTGGACACCGACTCGGGCTTGGCCTTGGAGTTGCCGTGCACCCTGGCGGGGCTGCCGCGGGCCTGGCTGCAGTAGAGGAAGCTGCGCTCCAGCGGGTCCTCGGAGCCGCTCAGGTAGTCGGCGTCGGGCGGCTCAGCGTGCGTGGACTGCGGCGTGCTGCTCGGCGGCTCGGACAGCGGCGTGCCGGCCGCCTCGGCCGAGTAGCCGCTGCCCTCGGGGCTGCAGTGCTGACTCCGGTGCTGCTCCGGCGTCCTGGACGCCAGGTTCTTGGCGCCCTTCTTCTGCGGCACGGCGGCCTTGGACAGCAGCAGCTGCTGCACCGTGTTGGAGATGTTCTCCACCTGGGACGTCAGGGCCGTGAGGCTCTGCAGGCTGAGGTCCGACAGCAGGTTCTCGGGCAGCTTGTCCTTCGGCGGCGGCTTGCCGTTGCCCGCCTGGCTGTCCACCGAGCCGGCGGCATCGGTCGGGGAGGGGTTGAGCAGGGGCATGAAGTGGCTGTGGTCCGTGATGCCCGCGGGGAAGGCGCCGGCGCCGAGCGGCTGCTGGTTGTAGGGGAAGTTCTCTAGGTTGGGCATCAGCGGCGACGGGGTGGAGCTGTAGGAGGGCGAGCGGCCCACGGAGCGCGCGGGCGAGTGGCCGGAGCTGGGGCTGAAGGTCTGGTAGTACTGCTCGGGAGTCCTGACGGCCGCGTCCGGCTGGCAGTAGCCCGGGCCCTGCTGCCCGTAGTGCTGGTACTTGGCAAGGTTTTGGTAATGGAGGGTCTCCTGCGCGTGGTGCCGGCTCTGGAGCGCCGCCTGCTGCTGCTTCTGCTGGTCGTAGCCGAGGCGGCCGGACTGGTAGGCGTGAAGGCTCTGCACCCGCGGCCCCGGCGCCAGGCTGGCGCTGGCCGTCAGCGGCCGGTCGTGGGGCTGGGCGGACGGCGCGGTGCAGCTCTTATAGGAGTGGGCGCCCTGGCCGCTGCCCCCGCCGCCGCCGCCCTGGGCGCCCTGGGCGCTGGAGGAGTAGCTGGAGGAAGCGGGGAAGGACTGGGAGTGCTGGGGGAAGTGGCCGCCCTGCGGGAAGGGCAGCGGCGAGGCCATGTCGTTCTGCAGCTTCTGCCTTTGCAGTTTGGGGTACGCCAGGGGCTGCTGGGGCTGCGGCAGCTGCTGCTGGACGTGCAGCGAGTGAGTCCGGAAGGGCAGCTGGGCGCCCTGCTCCGGGTACTGCCTGCCAGGGGGCACTGCCGCCTTTTTCATCAAGCTGTCGTCATATTTGCCCATGCCCCCCGGCAGGGGCTGCGGCTGCGGGGGCGGCGGCTGGGGGGCCCCCCAGGCCTGCAGGCTCTCCTCGCCCGAGTAGCGGCCGGGGTACGCGCTGCTGTCCTGCACGCTGTAGCCCGAGAAGGCCGGCCTGCCCTGCAGGGACTGCTGCGAGGCCAGGCCCTTGCCGCCCCGCGCCGGGCCGGGGGCAGTGCCCGCGCCGCCCTCGTAGGCCGGGTAGGGCTGCGGGCTGTAGTAGTCCTTGGCCAGCAGCCGCTGTCGGTCGCAGCTCAGCCCGGCCTGGCTCGGCTGCCGGTAATTCTCCAGGCGCGAGGTCTCCTGTGAGGTCTGCTGGTAGTTCTGTTGTTTGCCATGGAAACCACACCTTTCTCGAAAAGACTGCATGACTCGGGCTAGTTATCTGTGAAAAGAGAAAGGGAGAGAGGGAGGGCGGGGAGGGGAGGGCGAGAGGGAGAGGGAGAGGGATTCAGACGGGCCATTTCCCTTCCCCTCCGAAAGCCGCCGGCCTCCCACCCCTCTCCCGCCCTGCCCTCTCCCCTGCAGCTCTTAATGGTCTCCCCTTTGCCCGAGCCTCCCCACCAGCTGTGCACATATTGACAACTTCTGTGGCAGGGGGGTGTGCTCTGTAATTCCCGGCCCGACATCGGCCCCGCGGCCCGCTGGGCCTGGCCCAGGATGGCCACCGCTGCGGCGAGGCGAGGCGCGGACCCACCGCCCCACGCGCCCGCGGGGGCCACCCCACCCTGCTCGGGGTCAGCTCCTCCCCTCCACCCCACCCACCACTCCCAGCGCTTCCCTGCCCGCAGAACCATTTAGCAGAGCGCTTCCCGCTCTCCGGTCCCCGGGGGGCCGGCTGGGTCCTGCAATCGAGTCCCAGTGCGGCAGTGTTCGAGCGGGACCCAGCCGTGCGGGCAGCCGGGAAGGTCTGCCCCTGCCCAGAGGAGCCACTCACCAGGGCCTGCGGAGAGCGGGCGCGCATACACACACACACACACACACACACACACACACACAGACGCACGCGCGCACCTCCATCACGGCCATGCCATCTGGAAGCTGTCTGTTCCTCCTAGCAGACGTCGATTAGGGGCTGTGAGCCACTGTAGGCATAAAACGTCCCCTTCTCCGACTCCCAGTAACGCAGGACAGCAGCACCTGCCTCCTGGTTTGGTATCATAGGTGCATAAACAGATTACGTGGCCCAGAGTGAGGGAGTGCATGCTAATGGGGGTACAGAGCCGCAGTCCCTTGGCCACAGAGGAGCGCCCCACAGCTGGGCGTGAGGCAGCCCCCGAGGCCCCTCCCGTCTCCATCTCACAGGGTCAGCACCGGGGCACGCCAGGCCAAGAGACCATCTGTTTATGATTTCAGGGGCTCGGGCCCCCGGCGAGGTCTAACCAGCCCCAACGCAGGATCTGGGATCAGGAAATGACCCCGGAGAAACGGTGGGCCCTTCAGGGCAGAGCAACTGGATTCACACAACAGCGTCCAGGCTGAAGGTTTCCCTGACTGGGGGCCAGGTCACCCCAGAAGGCCCCCAAAGGAGGGAGAGGGGAGGAGCAAGGAACGTTCCAGGCTCAGGAGAAATCACATCGAGGAGTCTGGCAGTCAGCCAGATGCCCGGGGGGCGGCGGGGGCGGGGGATCAGGATTTACCCACAACCCTGCCACTGGTGGGGGGTGGGCAAGAGGCAGAAAGAAAGGCCCGGGCCCCCAGGAGGGCACCGGGGACGGTCCAGTTCCCAGCCATTCCCAAGGTGAAAGAGGAAGGGGTGGCCTGCTTCAGGCCACAAGATTCCAGGGTTATAGGAGGGACCAGAAAGGAATAAAGAGGCACAGAAGAGAGAGAGAGACACACAGACGTGAGAAAGAGGGCAGAGATGTGGGGGAGGATGGGGGCTCCCCCAGGAGGTCCAACTCACTCCTCTATTCTCTGCCCGGATCCCCCTTAGACGCCTTTCTCAGTGTTGGGGCTGACCAGGGTGGGGGCCAGGGGAGGGGCCCCATCCAGCTGAGCAGGGCAGCCAGAAGCCCCCAGGAGCCCTGTTAGCACAGCCCGGGGCCCACCTCCCCTGAGCTCGGCAGTCAGCTGACCCTGACTCAGGGGTAGATGTGCCCGGGGCTGCTGTGAGAGGGGACCAGCGTCCCACAGGGCGAACCCCTGCCCACCAGGCCCCAAGACGAACACAGCCCGGCGGCCTCCCCTCCCTCCTCCCCCCGGATTCTTCACAGGCATCCCCAACAAGGAGAAATGTGCCCGCCCTTCTGACCCACTTCAGTCCCATCCCTGGCGGCTTGGATCAAACGTTACAGGAGGTGCCTGCCGCGATGCGCCAGGCCCATAGGGGCTGGAGGCGGCACTCGGTTCTGGCCTGGTGGCTGTCAGCCAGGCAGGCGGCCCTGGGCCTCCTGAGCTCTGCGGAGAAGGCTTAGGGGCCGTCCCCTTCCACCCTTGGGCAGAGGAAATGAGCAGGCGCACAACCCGGCTGGCAGTGGAAGTCACTTTTATTAGGGTGTCACCGGCTGGCAGGCGGGGTCGGCAGCAGGCCCTGGCCAGGAGGGCCTGCTCCAGAGGACACGACACTGCGCTCCGCCTCCGTCCCCCTGGCCTGTGTTTCTGAGCCCGGAATGCACAAACCCAGGCCTGCTCTGGAGGCACGGGAGCTGAGCTGCGCGTCATATATCTGCACAAATTACATTTCGGCTTTTATTAGTCCCAGATCGCTCCCATTTCCTGCTGAGTGTCCTGTGGATATCATTAACATTTCTACAGCTTTATTTTTTTATTTTTCTTCACATTCTCCAAAATGCATTACCGGAAACATTACTTAAAAAGAGAGAGTGCTATGGCCAGTGTCCTTTCCCCCCACCTTTAATCAGTCCAGCTGCTGTGTCTTTTAATTTAGCCGAGCTGTATTAAAGGCGGGTTTCCCAATACACACAAGCCCTGGATGCGGTGAAAGCATCTATCTCTAAGAAAAGACAGTTCAATTAAAATACGAGAGGCCCAGTGCCTGATGGAGAACGCAGGCAAAAATGCTCACCCCAACACCACCCTCCAACCCCAGGCGGCGGGAGGGGGGAAAGGGACGGTTGCAGGAACAAAGGCATGGCATCAAAGTCGGGCTTGAGGTCCGCCAGCTCAGCCAGGAGAAAACAGGGCTCTGCCTCTTTAAGAGCTGCCTCAGGCCTGCCACAGGCTCTGTTGTTATTAATTATTATGATTATGATTACTTTTCAAGAGCACTAGGACAGGACAAGGAGGGGGAGAGAGGCACGCACTAGGCAGGGGTGGGCGGCAGCAGGAGGGGCCCCTTTGGCAGAGATGATGACCTCTGAACCTCGGGAGGGGAGGAGGGGAGCAGAGGGGGACAGACTCGGGGTCTGGCCTCAGTGGGTTCGGCTGGAGGGAGAAGGGCACCCCCTGGGGCGCCTGGGTGGCTCAGTTGGTTAAGCGACTGCCTTCGGCTCAGGTCATGATCCTGGAGTCCCGGGATCGAGTCCCGCATCGGGCTCCCTGCTCGGCGGGGAGTCTGCTTCTCCCTCTCCCTCTCCCCCCTCTTATGCTCTCTCTCTCTCTCTCAAACAAATAAAATCTTTAAAAAAAAAAAAAAAAAAAAGAAGGGCACCCCCTAACACATCCTCGTGGGGCTCCTTCGGGTCCAGTCTAGCCTCCCCCTCCTTGCTTCCCCCACCTGGGTCTTGGGGACACTGGGTCAAGGCCTGATTTCTGAAGTTCCTGAGGGGAGGGAGGAAGTCAGCCTTGAGCATCCTCTAGGCACCAGATACGATGCTTAGGACAGAAGTCCCTTATGACAACTCTTGGAAGGCAGGCTCCTGGACCCAGGCTCCTGGACCGAGGGAGCAGAGGAGGACGGGCTGGGGGGGGTGGGGGACCCTTGGCATTGGCCGGGAATGCTTACTCTTGTGCAGGTTTGCTCAGTTAACACTTTGATTATTCCGCCCTTCCAGAGAAAAAAGGTGAGGTTCAGAGAGCAAGAGACCGACCTTTGAGCCCACCCACAGTGAAGTTCCTCTTGCTGGATGACCAGACCGAGGGTGCACGTTCCCTTCCTTGGACCCCACACCAAGAACTCCCACCTATAGGAAGGCATCTTGGAGCGTGGCAGCAAGAAGGTGCTGGAAGGGGAGGGCAGAGGGCCCCTCTGCAGCCTCTGAGGCCCTGAAGGCCAGGCCAGGACCCCCCCTCTTATTCGGGGAGCCGGACCCACCTCAGGGAGGTCCACTCATGAGCAGTGCTGGTCACTGGCCACCTGCTGTCACCCCGTAACTGCTGTCCCTGGGCCCACAGCCCCTCCAGTGCCCTGGATCAGGGAAATGGGCACAGCGTGGGCCAGAGCGGCCGCAGCTCCCATAGGGGACCCGGTGGAGCCCAGCTGGGAGGCTGTGGCTGGAGGTTTTCCTGAGGGAGAGGGGTGGTGGGAGAGGGGCAGGGTGGGAGACAGAGGAAGAGAGAGGGAGGAAGACAGAAGGAAGCTTTCTGTTCCCCAGCAGCGGCTGTGAGACTGCTGGTTCCATCCTACCCACTTACCCAAGGTTGTTTTATGACCCGGTTTCCTGATTTGTAGCTGCAGGGAAAAACGCAAAAAGCCAACCCACTCAAGGCCTGGGAACTAGGAAGAAGGATAAAGTTCCCTGGGGCAGGAGGCTGGGGATGGGGCCGGGGGTGTCCAGCGAGGAGTGAAGAAGGTAGGACCACCCTGTACCTCCCCATCCGTCTGGGGTGAGTGATGAATACTAAGTAGGAAACCTCGATTAAAATGATAAATCGCTAGCCAGCTTTCCTGCTGACCTGTGGGGTCTACTTTGAATCCTAAGGGCCTGGCTTAAATAGGGGAAGGGATGAGCTTCCAAGGAGTCCACAAGACAAACAACTCAGTCCCTGCAGGCCCCAGGGAAGGGTTAGGGTCCTTGGCCTAGGGGCTAGTGGGGAGGGAGGGACCGAGCCAGAGGGGAGAGCCCTGCTAGGGCAGAGGGGGACAATCCTGGGGCATACAGAATCCCAGAGAACAAGGCAGCCCCCACCTCAAAGGATGGCCTCTCAAGACCACTCCATGTGGGCAGCACTCCCAACACTTGACACGCACCCCTCCTCATTCATGGGTACCCACGCAGGCTCCATATGCCTCTGCAGGGCCTCGCCCGGGTGGGAGGACCCGGGGGCTGGGGGTCCTGAATACTCAGAGACAAGCTATGGGGTGAGAAGGGCAAGACGCTGGAAGACCGCCTTGCACTCTCTCCAGATGCGGGGTGGGTCCCCAGCCAGGCTCTGTCTCTGAGGCTAGGAACCCCAGGTGAGGCGAGATCTCAGGGCTCTTTGGAGGAGGTCTGAATGGGGAGCAGAAGCTTCTGGACTCTCCAGACATTTGGAAAGCCTCCCCTCGAAGCCCACCAATGCTGTCTCCTCCAAGGCCCCAGCTGCAGAGGCCTCAGAGACCCTCCTAAGGCCCGTGAAGATCCTGTCCTCAGAGTCTTACCACTAAGAGGATGCCCCGCTCCTGGGGCATCACGGGGTGCGTGGAGCGTGGACTGTGCTAGTTTCTGGAAGCCCCAGGTCCAGTTAGGAAGCCACAAAACCATTTCTAGGAGCAGTAACCCGTGGAAGTCCCACAGCCCAGGAACTGGGCAACAGGACCCAGATCTCCCATTGGGTGCCTGACTTCTAAAGCTGAGCCCCGCTCCGCAGCCACACCCCACTGCCCCACGGCGCAGTTTCTGGGATGCGGTGGTCAACGGGCCCCCAGACCTGGGCCGTCCAAGACGGAGGGGCCTGCGGTCCAGGTGACCAGCTGGGATAGCTGTGGGGTGCAAGAGGGGATTCAGCAGCAGTGCTGTGGGCATTCCAGAGCCCCCGCTCTGGGGCGGGGGGACACTCACCTATTATCAGCTCCATACTTACCAGTCTCTTGTGGACAGTAATTGTTTTTAGATCATTTTATTCACCATTCAACAAAAAAGATGGCACCACCTCCCCCCCTCGCTGTCAAAATGAGGATAAGAAGGGGGGCGGGGGGTTCCTGACTCCTGAGATGTCATCAGCTAGGAGGGCTGGGGTCTGGTGGCCCACACATTCAGGGACGCCAGGTCAGCAAGCCAATGGGCTGGCTCAGAGACTGCCGTGGTCATCGGAGGGGGCCCACGGGGCGGGGGCGCGGGGAGAGCGGGGAGGGGCTCCCGGTCTGCTCTGTGATCCTTCCAACCAAAGCCCCAGATGTTTCTGGCCTTGCGGGCCGCCGGACAATGTGGATCAGACAGGATCTATGTGTCCACTGGCTCTGAGGGCAGGCAAAGGTGAGAGAGCCCAACCTCTCACCCCAGCCTGTCCTTGAGGGCCACCCCGCGTGCCCCGAGGGACCCTGACTTCCCTGCGGAAGTGGCTTCATCAGCTAGTGGCTTGTCTGGCTGCTTCCTGTGCTGGGAAGACCATTCTGATCTCTGCACGCCTTGCTGTCTCGGCTCCAACAGGACTTTGCTCATGTCACCTTCCCAGGGACGGCTCCCTGACCACTGTGCTTGGAAGAGCACCCCGTGCACGCCTCCTCCCCTACTTCTATCACGTGCTCACCTCCTTGTCCTAAGCCACGTGGCCCGCTGGCTTTACGGCTGGTCTCTCCTCTTTGGAACTACAGTTCCCCGAGCAGGCGTTTTGGCCGGTTTTGTTCACAGTTCTACCCCCATATCCCCGAACAATAAATATGTATTGAATGAATAATGTATCAGTGTCACATTAACCCTATGGAAATATCCAGAACCAGCCATCGATGGCAGCGAAGAGAACAACTGGGTAGACATGGGAGGGGGCTTATCGCCACAACCCCTCGTTCATTCCACAGAGAACAAGCTCCTTCTGGCGTGGCCGGTAATGCACCTAAGCGAAGCCAGCAGGTGGGGATGGAGGCACGTAGAGGGTCCCCAGTCCCAAATAAAGTGAGGGGGCGCCCCACCGAACTCCAGCAGAGCTTTGGGAAGGAGAGCGCCAGAGCTTCGGAGGTTTTTTTTTTTCTAATTAAAAGGGAAGTCTCTCGTTTTAATAAATGGTATCGACCAAGTAAAAAGTTTAACACCCCAGAGTTGAAGAGGGCCCGTCTGTGGGCTGCAGCTCATCACAAGCCCCCGGGTGTCACACGCTGATGTAACTGGTGCACACGGAACTTTGCAAGGGCAGAGCTAGCGGGAGCAGAGTTCGGGCACCTAGCAGGTGGTCATGGCACAGGCAGGCGCTCGGTGTGAAGGAATGAGAACGGGGGAGCACCCAGAACCTTCCCTGGGCCCTGGGAGAAGTCCTGAGACTAGCACGACCCAGGGAAGCGTGGAGTGGGGCCGCAGGGTGAGCGACTGGGGGAGGCAGGGCCTGAGCGGCTGGGGCCCCACGGGGAAGGTAAAGCTCAGAGGTGCACCCAGGTGGGGGAGCCGCAAAGGCTCGGAGGCAGGAGGCCTAGGCCCCCAGGGGTGGTAATAACCTACGGAGCATTCCACCCCAGGCACCAGATGAGGCCCTGCTATCTGCGCTCCGCCCCCCCCCCTTTGCTGGGTCCCTGCAGGGCTCCTTGGTGGCGCTTATCACAGTGGTAATCACATAATTAATGGTATAATGAGCTGCTTTACATGTGCCTCCCTGGGCAGAATGTAGCCTGATGAGGGCAGGGGCTTCTTCATCTGTTTGGTCCTACGCCCTAAGTGCAGAAACTGTCCCGACCAGGTGCCAATTAAATATTGCTTGGATGGCTGGGCAGATGGGATGGGTGAGGGGCTCAGCGCTGGCTTGGGTGCATCATTTAACCTACCCACAGCTCTAAGGGATGATGACGACGGGCCTGAAGACCAGCCAGGACCCGTGCAATAGCCAATCAGGAAGGAAAGCCCACAGGCTTCCCCTCTGTCCTCCACACCACCTGGGTCACAGCCCATTTCTGTTCAGCTTACAGTCAGGTGGGGTGGGCTGGAGTTGGGTGCTGAGGATACAGAGGGAAACGCCCCAGCAGGGCCCCTGCCCTCCTGAGGCTGACAGACACCCAGGAGGCTGTGGGGTGGGGAGTGGAGGCGGTCTGGGCATGCTGGCAGGAGGGCGTAATTATGTGAGGAAGGGTGAGGGCCCACCGGGTGGAAGGAGCGGCCTGAATGAGGCTGGACGCAGAACACAGCAAGGGGGTCACCTGCGCGTATCTCCCCTCCCCCACCTCAGGGGGCCCGGCTGCAGCCGGTCAGATGCCCTCTGTTCTCATGGCACCAATCCCCAGCAATCCTGCAAAGTCACCCGGATTTGTTAGCTGCCCCGTATGGCTGCTGGGGGGCCAGCACTCTCCTCTGTGCCTTTGGAACCCACTGGTCTGCAGCCCAGGCTGGAGAGGGGTCTCTGGCTCGTTTCTGACCTGGTGCTGCCTACCTCTCCCCCTACCTCCCGCCCACAAGGCCAGCTGCTAGCAGCACTGAGCCACCAGAAGCCACTTTCTATAGAGCATATTCTAGGTCAAGCGTCCCCCTCCTTTTGCAGAGGGATTAACAAGCCCAGAGAGGGACAGTGACTTGTCCAGGAGGCCCAGCAGGGCTGAGATCCCTCTACAGCTCTGGGCCCCTTGGTCCACCAGAAAATGAACTCGGAGCTGCAAGCCCAAAGGGGGAGGGGTCAAGGTCCTCCTGTTGGACACCCCAGCTTTCCTGAGGAGCCAGGGAATGTCTCCCCCTTCCCCAGCCTGGGCGGGAAGAACCCCTCCCTTCCCTGCCTTTGACACCCCCTCTGCGCAGCATCCTGACAGTCGGGGAGGCTCAGCAAGCCAGCCCCTCCCAGCCCCGTTCCACCTGGGGGAGCCAGGGAATTGGCGCCCCCTCCCCGCCAGCCCCCAGGGGAGGAAGCCGCCTGTCAGGCCGCCACGGCGTGTCAAATCCTCTTGCTGCCTAATTGTGAGACGGCGGCGTTTAAAGAAACGCTTTTCTGGCCGCCTGCCACACCGCAAACTGCTTGGTATAATTTTATTATTAAGGAGAGAGAAAAAGAGGGAGGGGGGCTTAGGGGGAGAGAGAGGGAGAGAGAGAGAGAGAGAGAAAGGGAGAGAGGAGGAAATTGCTTAGTCCAAGTCAGCTGGTGGAGTATTCTGCTCAATGTGAAAGCGGGGACGGCTTTCCAGTTGGCAAGCTGACTTCGTTAATTGCGCATTCAGTCTCTACTTAGGGTAATTGAAACGAAGCGGGGCCCAGGTCTGACAATTAGGGTCTGCGACTAGGCCATTAACCCTTTCCGCCACTGCCCCCCCGCCCCCGATGGACACCTCGCGGCCACTGAAAGTGGGGGGAGGGCCACTGGGCACCCCCGCGAGAAGCCATTCTGAGCCCGGGGGCTGGGAGCCCCCCGCGGAGGCGCCGACTGCGGCAGGGGGGCTGCGGGGCGGGCGCCCCAGCGCGAGCAGGGTTAACGCGCTGCCGCGAGTCCGGGAGCCCGGCGAGGGCCGAGCTGGGGATGGCGGGGGAGCCGCGCAGGGTGTGTGGGGGTTGTTTGCGGCCTCGCCGCCCCTCTGCAACAGATGTTTCAGCCGTGTAAGACAAAGGCAGAGCGCCGGCTGCTGCCGGGAGAAAATCCGCAGGACTCCCTCAGGGGCAGGTAAAATTTCACCTTCTATTTGTGTTCCCCCCAACACACCCCCCCCCCGCTCGCCCCCGCCCGGTTCCCCGGCCTCTGCGCCAATCCGGAA